GAGGGATCCCTTTAAAACCAAAGTTTAAAGGAATCCCTTTAAAACCAAAGTAGGACCTTTGCAGTGACTTCCAAACTCTGTGACCTCATCCTCCAGTGCCTCTCTCATAGCACCTTGTGCTATTGCTTAGTGTAGTGCTTAGGAGTCCTGGTGTGGCACTGTGGGTTAATGTGCTGGACTACGAGGTTGCTTTGAACCACCAAGGTTGGTGGTTCAAGCTTACCAACTGCTCCTTGGAAACTATACTGGGTTGCTATGGGTCAGAATTGACTTGATGGCACACAGCAACAACGTTTAGTGGTTACGAGTCGGGCTGCTCACCTCAAGGCCAGCACTTTGAAACTACCAGATGTTCCATGGGAGACAGATGAAGCTTTCTGTTCCTGTAAAGATTTACAGCCTTGGAAACCCTAATTCAGGGTCTTTAGGAATCTGAACTGACTCTATGGCACATAACCACCACTGCTTGGGCAAACAGACCTCCTTGCTGTACCTGGGACATGACAGGAATGTATCTACCTCTGGACATGCTGGCCCCTCCGTACAGTTGACTCACCCCCCACTCTCCTACACAGCTCTTGCCTTTAGATCCTCCAGGTCTTTAGTGAAGTTTCCTTGCTAAACCTGCCTAAACTTGCAGTAGACCCCCACATGCTTCTGTATTCTCTACTCCTCTTCCTTACTCTACTTCTCTTTACTGCACATGGGATATGCTTTTATTTACTTGTTAATGGTTTCTTGCCTCTTCCCATCCAATTAAGTGTAAGCTGATGACAGCAGAGATTTTTCTCTGCGGTAGCTCAGAGCCCAAGACAATGCATGACAAACAGTAGATGTTTAACAGAGGGCTATTGAGTAAATGAGCTCACAAACGACTTTGGTTCTGTTGGTAGATGCTAAGTGCATTTCTTCTAAGTTAGCTCCAGATTGCTTGCTGAAGAATGAAAGACACACATACAGGCTGGTCTAGGTGGTCTTTATTAGTGTTTTCTGGGACCCATCAAACAAGATACCATATTTTGAAAAATACTCTTCTTTCACAAAACATAAAGTCTCAGTTTGAATTTAACATAGTTTTAAAGGGCAAGGTTTTGGATTTTTTTTTTAAATAGTGGCAGTAGGGTTGTTACCCACAAATTTTTAACCGAGAAGCCAGATGGAAAGAAAAGCAAGAATTATGCAGACAGCTATAGAAAGATTAATCCCAATTTAGCTAAACTTGTGAAGGCCTGTGCATCTCAGTGGTTCATCAGACACCGTCTCAACAGGTTTTTTAAATGCTTTAGCTCTTATTCTAGAAACTGACTCCTAAGAGTCAACACTGAGAATAATTCCACGGTGCTGTTCTTTTACCTATATAATAAGTATCCATCCAGTAGGTACACACCAAGTACTTAGCACGCCCTATATAATTACACAGCTTCCTCACATATATAGTCTCATGCTGTGCACATAGTAGGCAAATGTTTGTTTTAACTATAGAAGAATATAATTGCCTTTCCCTCTTACTAGTTTGTTTTTTCCTCTATTTTATGCATTTGAAAAACAACACACTTGGTAAAACTAAAATCTAAATATGCATTACTAACCTTATCAAAAGATTCCTCAGTATTTTTCAAAAAGGAAAATAAAAATAAAAACCAACCCCAAAATACTCAAACTTAGAAGTGCTTTACATTTAAATAGTAATTGACATCATATAAACACATTCATCATCTTCATTGGTTATAACAAGACAAAGGTTCATTACTGGCTTCTTAGACCAGTTAAGTCTCACAGTTCTAAAGAAAGCGACAGAATTTGTATCCAACACACAATTGACTTGTGGAACCAAACAGCTTGCTTTGGTTTCATCCAGCACAGTTAGGAAGGCAAAGTGAAGAGTCTCACAGTAAAATGTTCATCTAATAGATAACATGTGCTGGCTAGTTTGGTCCTTTTAATCTTTTTCCAGTGTAGAAATGATTCGTGTCCCAGTTACCGATATGGTCTCTAATCAGAGTCTTTCAAAAGATATGTATTCATTAATTCAACAAGTATTGAGTACCTGTCTCATACTTGGTAGTGGGAAAACAGTAACGATAAGACACAGTCCCTGCCCTCAAAGAGCTTACAGTCTAACAAGGTAAGAACTTTTGAGAAAAGACGAGTGTGCTCAAAAGAAAACACAACCCAAGTCCACCTGCTCAGAAGGTACACACATTCAAGAATCTGTAGGATATGTCACTGGGAATCACGGTCGTGCTCAAGTTTCATCAAGTCAAACATCTAGGAGCCTCACATGATCTGGGTCTGCCAATATATTTCTTGGATTGGGTTCTCATGAAAACTGCACTGAGTTCAGGCCTTTAGTTTAATAAGGGATCCGGGGAACCACGCTCCATGACCATGTAGACATTCTCAAATGAGAAACCTTGTGTCCCCAAAAGAAGATGAGGGATTCACCTTACACTGACTTATCTCTGGGACTTTGCTCTCCCTTTCTTTCAACACTGTGATGGAAGGGACTGTTCACACCCCAAGTTGGCAGGGCTCAATTACCTTGAGTTCTCCGAGTCACGAACAGCACATAGCAATTGCATCAAACTCAAGCCAAGCAACAGAGAAATACACTGAGAACTTAATACTCTAACATATTCATGCAGGCACCCGGTGCCAAGAAACCATCACTTCCAACAAATAACACAATCAGCTAATTATCTGAAGAGCTATTCTGGTTGATGCTCCCCAGATTCACTTTCAACTAGAAATGATTGCTTTTGAATGGAAAGATCCCAGGCTGATTTGGGAGAAATTTAGGAAGTTTACAGGTCTGTGAAAGGGTGAACTCAGAGGTTAGCCACCTTAGGTGATAAAAAGCGGGGGCAAAGTCAGGGAAGGAATGGCAGAGAACAAACTGGAGCACACCCCTAAGAACTTCACACAATTCAGACATAAACAGACTTAAAATTTTCACTTGTTATACCAATTTCAGATATCTGGGTGTTTTAATACATTGTATATGAAGGATAGCCAAGTGCTAGGAAGGGCCCCAAATTCTTGACCTCTGCTTGGAAAGCAGGGTGTGTCTTGAAGCAGGAATGTCTTGTTTACATAGCTAAGATCTTTGCTGTTCCTTGTTGTTTTTCTCAGTTCCCACAGTAGCTGTTACTTGGCAATACCAAGCAACCCCTTAGTGGAGATGAGACAGACTTGGTTGTATTGTCAGAAGGTCATTTATCTCAATAAGTTGGTGCTCCCAGATTACCTACCTGCTTCTCTTTATAACTAGGACAAATTCTTCATTCTCCTTACTTCTCGATATATTACAGACACTTTGCAAACTTTGACTATGATTTGTGCAGAGCAGCTGGAGAAGGAATTGTAGTAGATGCTGTATTCACTGATGAAGAACCAGTAGGTCCTACTCCCTCCCTTTTGGTTAGGGTCTTCTTCCCCATACTAAGTTGTTAGATGCCACCGAGTTGGTTCAGACTCAGAGTGACCCTGTATAGGATTTCTGAGGTGCAGCTGGTGGGTTTGAACCATTGACCTTTTGGCTAGCAGTCCAATGCTTATCCTACAGCACCACACTAGGACTCTCCCCATATTTAGTACAAGGTAAAGAGGCAGGATGGAAGAGCAAGTCAAAGACAAAAGAGGGGCATGGGGGCACCTAATGAAAAGTTGTGAAAGAGATCTGGATTTTCAAATCCATTTCAAAAATTCTCCAGGCTCACCTTTCTATAGATTGTTTGGTCCAATGACAACTTCCCAGGGACCCCAGAACAAGAAGGCCCCAAACTCCCACTGACAATATCTCCTGAGCTAAGCATCTTGTTTTCCTTTTCTATTCTTCCTTTCCTTTCTCTTTCTTTTTTGAAGCATTCTTTTGGATATAAGTCTAGTCAAGAAACCATTTACTTAAAGAGAAATTTAGAAGAGACAGGATAAAGATGATCTTCAATGGAAAAAAAAAAATGGTAAGAACTATAATCCTAAAGGTGGATTTCTCTAGAATTTAGACACACATAAATCCACACCAAAGTTCTCTCTACCCATTCCCATTTCTTCCTTCTGCAATTAAATGTTGGCTCTGCTTTGTAATTCCACTGAAGATAACCTCTACTGTAGTTCATACTACATGTCTACAACACTTAATTCATCTCTCTCTCTCATGTGAGACTCTACAAAGAAGTTCCTTTAGATATTTCAAGCCTAGAAGAACTAACATCATTCCTAACATTTTCAAAACTGAAACAGGTTGACACTGAAGTCTTGCTTTTGCTTTGCTCTAGTTGTTCTGGTGTGAGGTTGTAGGATAAGCACTGGCCTGTAAGGTTGGACTGAACTGCAAGATCAGCAATTCAAACTCACTAGCCACTCCATGGAAAACTCTATACAAGGTCATATGAGTCTGAACTGACTATGACACTTAACAACGACAAAGGGACTAAAAGATGCTACAAATCTTTTTGGTCTGAGAATGCACCACTGTCTTTCATTTTGACTAGCTAACTTGTCAGGGGACATTGGGCAATATGTGCAGACAGTTTTGGTTGTCACAGCTGGGGGCTGCTACTGCATCTAGTGGGTAGAGGTCAAGGGATATTGCTAAACATCCTACAATGCACAAAATGGGTCTGCAACTAAGTCATCCAGCCCCAACATGTCAGTAATGCTGATTGAGAAACACTGGGCTAGCAAACTCATCAGTGCATACCATCCCTCTCTGTTGTCCCATTTATTTATGAGCAGCTGAGATTTAAACAACCAAGGCTTGAAAAAAAAAAAAAAAATCAAGCCCACTGCTGTCAATTCCAACTCACAGCAACCCTAGAGGACAGAGGACAACTGCCCCAGAGGGTTTCCAAGGCTGTATATCTTTCCAGATGTAGATGGCCACAGTTTTCTACCACAGAGCAGCTGGTGGGTTCGAACCACCTATCTTTTGATTAGCAGCCGAGTGCTTAATTGCTGTACCACCAGGACACCTTAATTAGATGTGAACAGAGGTGACAACCAACCATCCAAGGCGGGGCGTGGATAGTCTTGGCATCAGGTAAATCATTTCATAATGAGTATAAAGCCCCCCACCATTATTCTTCTCACTGATTTACACATTGCAAGTCATGTGATTACATAGAAGATTACAGTTTCACCCTAGATTTCAGAAGTTCCCATTCTCCACTCACTGGTTCGTAGAGGGCAGGTTATAGTTCCCAGCATCCTTCAGGTTTCTGATCTCAGCTTGAAATCCTGGAGTTCAACCATGCCACCTCTCTTGGCAAAGCCATATGGGAGCTTCTGTGCCGAGGATACATCACCTTATTCTAAATAATTTTGCATATAAAAAAAAATTTAATGCCCTCTGATTTTTTTTTTTTCTTTCTTTCTCTTAGCAAAAAGCACCAGGTTACAAACCCAGTTCTTCTTGCAGTGGAAAAGAACCTCACAATAGAGGCAAAAAAAAAGAAATCACAACCTCATACAGCATTATATTTCACAGAACACTGTGTACATTTGTTCCCCATACAGAACATTCTTCAAAGTAACAAAATAATTTTATCAACTGTAGTGTTCCTTCTTCCCGTTAGAAGTAGATTTTTTTTTTTCCTTTTCCTTTCCTTATGGTACATAAATATCAGAGAAAAGCTGTCTTTATGTCCAGAAGTTCTTCACTTGTTATTTGTCTGGTGTGTGTTTTGGTTTGTGTTCAAAGTGTTGGAAGCTTCAGTTTTCGTTTTCTCTCCATCCACGAGCATTCTTCCCAAATTTATACACTAGTCTTCGTCCATCCACACGCTCCAGAATTTCTCTTTTGTAGTAATATCTGCAACAAAGGAAACTGTTAAGGTGCCTGCTCTGAGAAGGCTGCTGGGTAAATAAGCTGGTTGGCTGGCATCATGGCTGTTAGAGATGGGAAACGCCTCACCTCATAGCGCGGCTAAGTTTTTCATACGTCATGCTGCTGTTGTTTTTCTTTTTCCCCCATAACTGAGCCACAGCCTCTGATTTCAAGAATCTGAAGATGCCCTCAGATCTGTCTTCCCACTTTATTAACCCTGGATTCTTGTCTGGGTTCAATAGGATGTCACGGATGAATTCCCATAAGTGAGTCCCTCGAGGGTCTGGCAAAAAGAAAAAGGAGTTTATAGTTGTTGGGTGGTCAAATAGTGAAATGTACCCAACTGCTAACTTAAAGATTGGAGTCTACCTGGAAGTGCCTAGGAAAAAAGACCTGGCAATATACTTCTGAAAAATCATCCACTGGAAAATCTATGGTATAGCTTTGCTATGACACACATTTTTGAGCCTGAATTGATCACTAATAACTTTTTTTTTTTTTTTTTGATGGTTTGTGTCACAGCAAAGAAATGGGTAGATGGGAAGAGATAGCACCAAGTCAGAATATCCTCAAGTAGAAGACGCTCCACTGTCTTCTAGTCACTTGGGAAGCTAGGGCCCAGAACCACCAAATACTAGATATAAAAAGAGATACCTGAAAATTAACTAGCTCAATTTTTTTAAGCAATTTGGCCAAGGTTATAAAGCTAGCTAGTAGCAAAGTCAGTTAGGTCTCATAAAGCAGGGACGTGGAGGTGCTTCTTCTAATTGATGTGGACAAATTGTTCTGGATTTATTTCAACTTGCTACTCCCCTGGAGAACAACTTTCAACCACCTGTATTAGTATACCTCAACCAATTCAGTTGCTCCTAGAATAGATGAGAGGGGTTCAAAAAGTTCAAGGACAGAGTCCATTATCATTCAATTCCATTTTTCCATGAACTTTCTGAAGCCCCCCTTATATTGGGAAAGAGGGAGCCATGTAGGAGTATAGGGAGGCCTTTTGAAAATGACGCAACTACCATAATGAGATTAGCAACTAAGTTCAATTTTTTCTCCCACTGGATTTATGATGCCCCCATTTGAGGTTTTCAATAATTCAGTTCTGCAGGATCACCTGGAATAGCAGATAGAAAAGATGTCCTATAATTTCTAGATTATGATATCTTGATTTCTTTCTATGAGTCGCCCCCTGCCCCCTTTCCATCATTGCTACCACAGAACCAGGTCTCCATTGTTTTCATACTGTCTGTTTTTCTTATCAGAGAAAATCCAAATCCCAAGAATAGTATTGAATCCAGAGAATAAATATTCATTTTTTTAAGAATGACAACTCCACAAAGCAAGAATTCAACATTTCATCAAAAGAAAATAATAATAATTCAACAGTTTCTCTCAATCTTTCTCCTTCCTCTTCATACCTCCCCCCTCCCTTCCCCATGGCCTCCTCCATCCCAGAGAGAAGTTGATATTTACTAGGAGTTTCCATTTCAAAAGAAATCTGACAGAATGAGAAGGAAATACCCAGTGAGACTCAGGTTTGAGAAAGGACCAAAGAAGGAGTTATTTTGCCAGCAAACCGTGCCTCAGCTCTCTGACTGTACCCAGTCTGAGATAAGGAAATGGGGACAGTTAGCAGCGGCAATGTTGGAAACATAATGGGCACCAGTTATATTCAACTTGAAGGGAAGGGCCAAAAGTCATCAGATATCCAGCCAAGCAACTTACTGTGCTTTTTGGTGTGGGACTTTGTAGGGTGGTCTTGCTCCTTTTTCATATCAGGTGACTCTGCTAAGGAGAAAGATGAGAATTGCTTAAATTATATATGTCCTACAATTATCCATCTAGCCACTCATTTAACCGACATTTATTGAGCACTTACTACGTGCAAAGCACTGAGAATGTGGTAATAAACAAAACAAAAACAGAGATATTAAGTGTTATGGAAAAAAATAATGCAAAATAAGAAATGGGGAGAGGAAGTATAGAAGTGGGGTAATTAGCAATTTAATATAAGGTGGTCACATCCTTTGGGTCCTCTAAGAAGGGGACCCAAAGGATATGAGGGAGACAGCTATGCGGAAAGCTTATGGAAGAACCTTCTATGAATGAGAACATTATGTGCCAAGGTCCTGAGGCCAACATGTGCTTGGTTTGTCTGAGGAGCCAAGGAAAGGGGAAGAAAGTTGGCACCAGAGATGCATGAGAAGTGCAGATCATTGAGATCTGGGGGCTGTGGAAGAACTTTAGATTTTATTGTGAGACAGGTGGAAAGCTGTTGAAAGAGTTAGGTTACTAGAAGGCTTCCTTTTTACCCCCATAACACAAAACTGTTAACATTTATAACAAGGAAAGATGCCTTTTAAGCTGGAGGAGTGCCCTTTTTGGCATGCAAAGTTATATTTTAATCAGCTTGACAAAAGGGTCATTGACTAGCCCAAGCTCAGTACAGAGGGCTGCAATGAACTATGGAAACACAGATTACTTTAACAAAGGACTCATTAAGGTAACCCTTGCAACTACCATGAAAGAGGAGATGACAGAGACAGGTCAATGAAACAAACCTTACAAAGAACACTAAATGGTCTAGGGGTGTATATGTGTGGGGAGGGGGACACTGTGGCTGATAGGAGTACCAAGACAGATCTTACCAAATATATGACAATTACATACATTCCCAAATCAAATGGGACAAAATTGAGGCTTTCTGGAGTCTTGGTGTGGCGCTGTGCGTTAATGTGCTGGACTGCAAAGTTGGTTTGAACAGCAAGGTGGGCTGTTCAAGCTCACCAGCTGCTCACCAGAAACCCAATACACAGTCACTCTGGGTTGGAACCAACTCAACAGCACTTAACAACAACAAAGATTTACAGTCTCAAAACCCTACACAGGGTCACTATGAGTTGGAACTGAATCTAGAGCACACAACCACCATAGTCAAAAGCCAGCCAGTTTTAATACATAATGGTCACTAAGCACAAGTCAATTCTTTTAAGAAATTGTTGACAGTAAAGCACAAATCTCTTCTATGCTCATTACACCAGGGGTTCATAAACTAGCACCCACATGTGGCCATACATTTCCAAGGGCATTTTGGATTGCTTAAAACTGCATGCAAAGGGAGGGGTCTCTTGGCATTCATTAGATTCTCAAGAGTGGTCCAGGAAGGAACAGGGATAGGAAACAAGGACAAATGTAAAGCGTAAACGCAGGGAGAACATGGGAAGAGAGATGCTAGATTGTGGGAATTGAAATCAGTGTTACAAAACAAAATGTGCATGAATTTTTTAATGGAAAACCAATTTGCTCTGTAAACCTTCACCAAAATCACAATGTTGTTAAATGCCGTTGAGTTGATTCTGACTCATAGTGACACTGTATAGCATTTCTGAGGAGTCTCTGATGGGTTTGAACTGCTGACCTTGTGATTCAGAATAATAATAGAAAATTTTGAAAAAGAGAGTGGTTCATTTCTCAAATAAGTTTATGAGCCACTGACTATTAGATTATAATAAGTTAAGAGGAATGGTGGTGATGTTGTTAAGCACCTTTAAGTTGGTTCTCACTCATAGTGACTGTATAGGGTTTCTAAGGAACAGCTGGTGGGTCTGAACAGGTGACTTTCCAGTTCAAACTGACCTTGTGGTCCAGTGCTTATCTTACAGTACTATACCAGGACTCCAAGTTAAGAGGAATGTTGTTGTCGTTATGGGCCGTGGAGTCGGTTCTGACTCATAGCAACCCTGTATAGGGTTTCCGAGGCTGTAAATCTTTATGGGAGCAGAAAGCCTCATCTTTCTCCCACGGAACAGCTGGTAGTTTCAAACTGCTGACCTTGTGGTTCACAGCCCGATTCGTAACCACTACGCTACCAGAGCTAAGAGGAGTAGTGAGTGTTTATTGAGCATTTAAGGAGCCCTGGGAAAGCAATCATTAAGTGCTCAGAAGCCAACTAAAAGGTTGGCAGTTCAAATGCAGCCAGCTGCTCTGTGGGAGACAAGCCTGGTATGATCTGCTCTCTCATAAAGATTACAAACAAGGAAACACTATATGGTAGCTGTACTCTGTCGCATATGTTCACTATGAGTCAAAATCGACTCGACTATATCTAACAATTTTACATGAAGTCTCCTTTTGTGGCACTGTAGGATCAACACTGGACTTCGACCCACAAGGTCGGTAGTTCAAATCTACCAGCTGCTCCTCAGAAACCCTATACAGGGTCACTATGAGTCGGAAATGACTCGACGGCACTTCACAACAACATAACTGTATGTACCAAGCGGTGCACTAAGCATTTTACATAAATGACCTTATGTAATCCACATAATAACCCTCTGAGGTAGGTACTATACTGGTCCACATTTTACAGCTAGAGAAAGTGAGAAACAGAGAAGCCAAATAACTTGCCTAAAGTCACATATATGAAGGTGGAACAGGATGTGCTCCCAAGTAGTTGGAACTCAGAAGTTTTATACATATCCACTACATATGCCACTTCTAGAGAGTATGGTCACCTCAGAACAGAACATCTGCCAAATCAGATGTTTGCCCTGGTTCTGAGCCTCTAGGATTAGTTCTTTAACCCTATAGTTAGTGAGAAAAAAATAATTGCAAGTTGATGATTCTGTATTTCCCAATAAGCATGGGCCCATTTGTCTATCTGATCACCCAGCTTGTCATGACTCAGGGTTCTCCACAGTTTCTCCAAAAGCACCTTGTAAGTATCAAGGCAGGTGGGAGGGGAGGAATTTCACAAGATCTGGACAGAAGAGAAACCTCTCATTCTGCTTAAGAAGTTTCTCTCCTGGCATGTTTTCAGAAGGGCCTGCACCTGTCTTGGTTTACTCTGAAATCTGCAAGAACAAATTCACAGGAAATGCAAGGAGCCCCCAACTCTCCCTCCCCTGTAGGCTGCAGAGCAAGGTTGCAACATCCCATCAGGATGTGACATTATTGCGACAGGTCTGGCACCCACTCCGGTTTCCAGGTGATACATCACTCTAACAGGGCCACGTTGTTCTGTAGACAAAGAACAGCATTTACCCAGCAGGCCACAAGCAAAGCTCAGTGCAAATGGCACCCAGGAGGGGTGAGGAGTCATTCTTTCAGAGTCAAGGTTGAGTTCAGAAAAACCCAAGTGTCTCTAAGCTGATTGACCTACCCACCCCACTGCCAATGAGCTGATTCCAACGCACAGTAACCCTACAACAGGGCAGAGTGGAACTGCTCCTTAGGGCTTTCAAGTCTATGCATCTTTATAGAAGCAGACAACATCATTTTACTCCTGAGAAGGGCAATTGGTGGGTTTGAACCATTGACTTTGCAGTTTGCAGCATAATGCTTAATCTGCTGTACCACCAGAGCTCCTTGCTTATGGACCAGTGTATTGTTTTATTGGTTCCAAGTCAAACTAGATTTAATTACTTTGCAGTTAAGATAAATAAGAACCTTGGAATGTTCCCTCCAGTAAAATGCATATATACGTACACTCAGGAAATTTTGTAAACAATTTTAGAGGCTTGTCCCCACTTAAAAGTCTATGGAGTCAGGTTAAAACCCCTAGACTAGATAGACCAGGCGCCCAGGCTCCCATCCAGCTAACTAAAAAACATGGTTTGACTGTTAACGTAAAGGTAAGTGGTACGTATCAGTGCTACAGAAGAAAAAGCCTAGCAAATGACTTCCATAAAGACTTTTGTTGTTAAGTGCCGTTGAGTCGGTTCTGACTCTTAGGAGCCCTGAATAGGGTGTCCCAGGCTTTAAATTTTCATGGGAACAGAAAGCCACATCTTTCTCAACTATGAAAACTCTGTGGAGCAGTTCCACTCTGTAAACACATGGGGTCGCCACTAGTAGGAAAAGACGAGGCGACAGCTAAAACAATTAATGGACTTAACATCCATCCAATTTAGGAGAAACAAAACAAAAATCCTCAAATAAAGAATGTTTCCATCATCCTGTGGGGGAATAATCAATCAGAAGCTAAAGAAAGCTCTAATTTCCTCCAATCCCATCTCCCCATCCCTAATGTGCTGGGGCAAGCTGAGGAATCACTGCCCTGCCTCAGCACCAAACCCTTTTGATCTAAAATTTTAATATGATGGCCTACCCACTTCCACCCCTACCTACCCACCCACCATGCCTTTCCAACCCCCACATAAAATTCAAGACCTTTGAAGTGTTCCAGGTAGTTAAGTGATTCATTCATATAAAAGAATGGCTTGCTCTGGGGGAGTTTTCCAGCTTGGCTTTCTCTTGCTCCCTTCCCAGCACTGCAGGCCAGTCCAGGTCCAGTCCTGGGCAGCCTCTGCAAGGAGCCTGGGGCTCATGACGCAAGTGCCAGAGCATGACTTCAGCTGAGCTGCTTCACAAGAAGCATAGATTACACACATTTGCATATGAGTCAGCTGTGAGCCATTTTTTTTACGGGATATACAAATTTCAGTGTTATAATAGACCGTGACACCCTAGCTCTAGGCTCAGCAAGCCAGTGGATAAACACATCAAGCCATAGCTGGCGTGATTGGCTCCACGGCTATCGGGCAGATCAGGAACACTGGCAGGGGCCATTTTATGAAAGAGGCAAATGACAGAGGAACCCAAACAAAACCCGCTTCCCCACCTGCGTTTATCACAGAGGGCATCAGTTTATGGCGAACCTCGCCTTCACTTGGCTTGTGCTTTCAAACACACAAAGATGTTTAACTGCACACTATTGTGTGGCAGCTTAGACTCTAAAGACTTTGGCAAATGGCAAAGGACTTTAGGGGCAATCCAGTGGAGATGAAAACAATTATGAAAGACACTGACCCATCGAAGATCCTACTTGGGGTGGTGGGTGGGGGAATGCTACTGAGCTTCCTTGTCCAGTGAATTTACCAACCTCAGGCCCTGAATTAATTAAGTGATCACTCTGATATAGGGTATGCATTCTTTATCTCATTTTCCAGCTGGTGCTGCAATCACAGAATAAGATAGGGAGCAAGGAAATAGGATCAAGGAAAATAAGGGGTGCGAGGGAATTAGCCCATTTTGAGCAGCACTTATTTCCTAGGTGTGGAAGAAAGGTTTGGCAATCTACAGCCATTCTGACACGATGTGGTCACCATGAGTTGACGTCAACACTGCAGCAACTGGCTGGTTTATTAAAAAACACAACAGGTAGATTCGGGAAATAGTAAATTAACTACTACTGGGAGAAAAAAAAAGCCAGGCAGAACCCGGCTTCTAAGGCCCCTGCCAATTCTGAGATCCTAGAATGTAAATCAGGATACACTAAAGAAAATGGTGGTCTGGTTGTGAGGAAAGTAGAATCATAATTAGGACTTCTAGATTTCCTAGGAGCCTCAAGGCCTAACAAACCTAAGACTTAGGAAGTGGTTAGCTGAACCTCATTTTTCGCTGGAATGTTTTTGCCGTAAGCCAATACTCAACCAGAAGGCTGTGGGAAGTGACATCTTAGGAAGTTCAAGAGGAAGTCAGAGGGTGACTTAGGGTGGTTTCCTCAGCCCCGAAACCCTAGGTCTTGAATGGGTGTCAACCATTGCCACAGAAACTTTCCTCTGAATTTCTCCAGTTCCCCCAGAATGGCAAATGCACAATAGAGCTTTCCAGTGTTTGATCTGTTTCCTAATTTCAACAAACACTTAGACTGCACATGCAATGCTATGATTGGAGATTAGAGAAATAACTGGACTGCACTCTTCACCTCAGTTCCAGAGGACTTGAAGCATTTGCTGATGAAAATCAAAGACTATGGCTTCCGGTATAAATTACACCTCATTGTAAAGAAAACAAAAATCTTCACAACTAGATCAATAAGTAACATCATGATAAACACAAAAAATATTGAAGCTATCGAGGATTTTTACTTGTTCCATTAAAACTGATGTTCTCTCATATAAACTGTCACTCAATTCACAATACAAACTTAAAAAAAAAAAAAAAAAAAAAAAAAAAAGATGGGACCACAAGGACTAAGATGCAATTGACCTAAGCTATGTCGTTTTCAATGACCTCATATGCAAGCAAAAGCTGGACAATGAATAATAAAAATCAAAGAAGGACTGATTCCCTGGAGTTATGGGGTTGGTGAAGAATGTTAAACATACCATGAGCCACCAGAAGAACAAACAACACTGTTGGAAGAGGTACAGCCAGAAGACTCCTCTGAAACTAGGATGGCTGGGAATTTGTTGGTGAAAAAGGGGAAGACCCTCAAGGACATGGATTGCCACAGGCCTGCCACAATGGGCTTAAATATAGCAGCAATTGTGAGGCTGGTCTAGGACTGGGCAGAACTTTGTTCTGTTCTATATAGGGTGACTTTGAGTTGGAAACAACATGACAGCATCTAACACCCCAGCCCGGTTCTCACTCAAGAAGCTTGATGTGAACAAAACTTTAAACCAAACATTTTCATTATTTCACATTAACAAAAGTCAGGGGAGGAGGGGAGTGTTGTTTCATTCCACATTGTCCTTCAAAAAGACTCATTTAAGTTTGGAAGTTGCCCCAAATCCAATTCCGGAAGAGCACATCATTTGTGACTGATGCCTAATCTCAATTTCATGTTGTTGTGGTTAAGTACTGTCAACTCATAGTGACCCTGTATAGGGTTTCCAGAGAGCGGCTGGTGAATTTGAACCACCAGCCTGTGGTTCAAACCAATCTTTATCCTACAGTGCTGCACCAGGCTCCAAGCTCTGTTTCATGTTGTTGTTGTTGTTGTCAAGTGCCATCGAGTTGATTCTGACCCATGGCGACCCTGCATAGGGTTTCCAAGAAGCAGCTGGTGAGCTTGAACTGTCGACCTTGCAGTTCAAACAGCTTTGTAGATGGGCACATTAACCCACAGCACCACACCAGGACTCCACAAATTCATAGACCCCAACAAATCCAGAAGTTCACACCCAGGTTAAGGACAACATGAGACTCTCTGCTCATCTCCTGAGTGTGCTTCTTCCTCCAGTGTGTGGGGCAGTGCTCTATTAGTGAGGCAGGGGTGATCTGAAAGGTCCCTTCCCACACTCCCAGGTACTGTGGCTCAGATTTAGTATAAGCTTGATGGGGAGTCATGGGTAGCTCCCAGGTGAATCCAGTCTTAACCAAGTGGTTAAAATTAGATGCACTTAACTAGACTGCAAGATTGGTGTGAGCCACAGAGTCAGTGGTTCAAACCCACCAGCCACTCCTTGGAAACCCTATTAAGTTAAGCTATAAACTTAAATACTGTATAAACTTAAATACTGACAAAATTGTATAATTTGTGGGGGCGGGGAGCTCCAGGAATTTCCAGTTGCTGCTGTTACCCCTCCACCCAGAGACCATCATTACAGGTTCATTTACCTCTAGATTCTCCTGTTGGAACTGATGGCACTTAGAAAGCACAACATAATTCTTGTTGGGGTGAGATGAGGTCTCATTGTTTTAATTTGCATCTCTCCAACAACAGTAACAACTAATGATCAGAGCAGTTCTTCATGTGCTTGTTAGCCCTTTGTATGTCTTCTTTGGTGACAGATCTGTTAATTTCCTCTGCCTAGGAGCCAATGTCTAAATTGCCTGTCCTTAGCATAGTGGTTACAAGTCAGACTTCTAATTTCAAGACCAGAAGTTTGAAACTACCAGCTGTTCCATGGAAAATAGATGAGACTTTCTGTTCCAGTAAAGATTTACAGCCTCAGAAACCCTATACAGGGTCACTATGAATCAGAACCGACTCCACAGCACACAAACACCACCAACAACACCAACACCACCAACACCATGCACTGTAAGATAAACAGTAAGCCACAAGGTCAGTTTGAACTGCAAGGTCAGTGGTTCAAACTCACCAGCTGTTTTCGGAAACCCTATACAGTATCGCTATGAGTAGGAACCAACTCAACAGCACTTCACAACAACAACAATGTGAGTCCTGATGTGGTGCTATAGGATAAGCACTGGACTGCTAGCAGCCAGGTCGGCAGTTCAAACCCACCAGTCACTATTCAGACACCCAGTACAGGATTGTTATGAGTCAGAACTGACTTGACAACACTTACCAACAACAGCAATGTGAATAGAATTCATGACGTGATGGTTTTCTGACAGTTGGGGAGAGTCCTGGTGAGTCATCTGGGTCAAACTTAAAGACTGACAAAATGGTGTACTTTGGGGGGGGGGCGCTCCAGGAATTTCCAGTTGCTGCTACTACCCCTCCACCCAGAGACCATCATTACAGATTCATTTACCTCTGCATTCTATTGTTAGACACTCTTTCACCTATGCTAAATGTAGTTTGTCAAAATTTATAAATAGCCTTCTGCCCTATAAATTTACCAAAGTATGAAGAAGCTGATATTTTAATGAAGACTATGAATAGGTAATATCCTCAGAACAAGATTTTTTGTTGAAAAGAAAGATAAACAGCTTTGGATAGCGGCTCTCTTGACTAGAGACAAACATTTTGTTAGAGACAGTCCTCCGGTTATTTTTGAATATTGACTCAAAATCAGACCTCTTATAAATGGATAACTCCATTCCTTTCCTAGTCTTATCCCAAGAAAGACTCCAACAAAGTGGAAGTGTATGGTGTTTGGTGTTGTTGTTGTTAAGTGCTGTCGAGTCGATTTCGACTTATAGCCACCCTGTATAGGGTTTCCAAGGAGCAGCTGGTGAGCTTGAACCGCCAACCTTGCAGTTCAAACGGCTTTGCAGTCTGGCGGGTCAACACACAGGGCCACACCATTCTCATTAAGTCTTAAGTAAGTGCTTGCATTGTTGTTGTTGTTGTCGTTATTGTGTGCTGTGGAGTCTGTTCCTACTCATAGTGACCCTCTACAGGGTTTCCGAGGCTGTAAATCTTTACGGGAGCAGAAAGCCTCATTTTTCTCCCACAGAACAGCTGGTAGTTTCGAACTGCTTACCTTGCAGTTCGCAGCCCAATTCATAACCACTACACTACCAGAGCTCCTTCACTCAGCTGCAGTCAGGACAACTTACCAACAGGAAGGTGACTGGTCGTTGTCATGGAAATCTGGGCCCGGCAGAAACTTTTGCTGTCCAACAAATCTATGGCAATGAAAAGAGAAAGGGAATTAGGAGCCCCCTGTTTATGATATAATGCTGTGGTTGTCCCGCAGAATGAGAATGTACAAGTGTTGGGGAGTTAGTTACCTACTGTGCTGCCATAGTTAGTGTCATATAAATAGTTTTCTTCTTTCCAGGTGTTTATGATCGAAGGGTCTACAAAAGACAAAAAATGAGACAACTCAGCAATCATTCACCTAAACTTGCTGCTCATCAGAGAGCACGGTTAGGGGGTGGTTCTAAAAGAAAACTTTGGCCACATGTCGTTTTATCATGTGAGCCCATTTTTCTCATTTCCTGGAGGAAATGGGCTTCGTTATAGCCCTGGCCATGGGTCCAATACATGGTGCACTTTTAAGGAAGTGAAGAAAGTTACAACAGTTGGTTCCTGTTCTAGGGTAATGAGTTTGTTTCTTAGGAATTTTCTCAGCCTACACAGGGCAAGTAGTGGGTCCATGAATTTGAGGTTATCTTACATTCTACTAATATTTTCTTGGGAGAATTAAAGATGTTTCTTTCAGAAAAGGTCTATGCAGTCTCCCAAGAAAGGTCTATACAGTTTTCTTTAGCGATAATGTCCAAGTCCAAAGAGGCTCACTTCTAGCTGGGGGACAAGGCCCCTCCATCCATTGTTTCTTCAATTAGTTTCAGGGGTGACATAAAAGTTTTGAAACAAAATTAAGGAGAAGGAGGGGAGAGTGTTACAAAATCAAACACCATTTAAGAACGAGCCCCTATGCCTCACCTCCCAGGAAAAGCTGTCACTCCTCCTCTCTCACTCTTTTTCTCTCTCTCTGTCTCTCCTCACGTCCCACTCAGATTAACTCTTCAGATTTCAGATTCAAAGGAAACTCCCCTCCACCTACCCCAGATGAAGCCCAACTCCTACACAACTCTCAAATCTGGGCTGATCTCCAACTGAAATGTTTTCTTTTCTGGCTGGCCAAGAGCTGTAAGATCTGGTGTGAGTGCTCACCTTGTCCCCATGAGGAACCTCCAGCTTTCACCTCTTCAATGATCTAGGCTGTCCTCAGCACCCTCCTGCCCTGGCCCTGAATCTCGGCGCCCAGGTGGGTAAGCTGCTGGCCGAGATTCATTTTGTTTTTACAGCATGAGCGATATAAACCCTGACTCACTGGCTAAGTCCTCCTGTTTACGACATAGGGATTTAGTTGGTATTCTAACTAATAGCTACGTGTTTGGACACCCCAAGCCCAATCTCTTTGGGTTACGCCCTCTTCTCCTTGTTTGGTCACCTCATACACCTGTTGTTGTCTCTGAAAACAAACTGAACCAGAGATGTTGGGGGTGTTGGCCCCTCTATGATCCTCTCTTCTCTTCCTCCCAGGGTGGACCTCCTCCTCCACCCTTCAGCTCAGCTTTTCTGAACTGGCAACACAAGAATGTCCGGATGGTCAAGGATGAATTATCAAGTTATTTGGGACCTCTCCAATACCACCCCTGGCTCCTCTGGAGGGTATCTGCTGGGTCACTGAGGGGAGGGGATGCCATCTTCTCTGCCAAGTCCTGCATCCAGCTCTAGAGCAAGCAGGCCTAGAGAGCACAGACTGTCCAGGGGAACCTGATCCTGGGACCTGGTGGGAAAGGGCCGGACTTGGAAAGCCTAATTAACATGCTTAGCAGCTATTGTTTTTTCTTTAATAATGGTAGGCCAGCCCCCTTATAAAAGAATAAATAACCGCATAGGGCCAATTTCAGCCCCAAGTGACTCACAAATGACTTAGGTCAAATTCTGTCCTCAGTGAGTAGCACACAACCCTCGGGGAGATGTGTGGCAAGCTCAGCCCCGTGTGGTTCCCAATTCTAGGGATATGGACATAGGAGAGGATCCATGAGCAGTGGCAACTTTTAGACAATGCAGTAGTGTAGTTGACCTTAGCCTATGGGCTATGGGGGACTTGCATAGCTTTCTCTAGACTGAGAGGTCATAAGCCAAAGGTCAACATGCAGGGAGCTCCGAGTGGTGCAAGGTCCAGTGCAGCAAATTCTCCCTCAAGGAAAATTGACCAACAGACGATCCCAAGGGGAGAGATTTAGGACAGGGACAATAGAGATGCCCATACAATAGAAGAGAAAAGAACGAAATTCACTGTAGTTACTATAGGACTCCAGACTCTTCCCAGGGTGCAGAATATGAACTTTCTTATTTCTTATACAAGTACACTAAAAGTTTGGTTCCACGGCTGCTATTGGACAACCCTACAGAAGTTCTCAAGAACTCCAAAAACTTTATTAACTACAGTATCAGTATTCTCCTCCTTTGGGAAGGTGAGGGAGAAGAGAAGGAGTTTTCTGGTCCTAACTTGGTCAAGTCTCCCCTCCTCCCTCTGTGTGCTAAGAAGGCTGCCTCTGTACATGCTGCATCCTTACTAGGTTTGGACCCAGATGTTGCCTGAACAGCAGTGGGAGGCTGGGAAACATGAGCAGAGGGAGAGGCTCACCATCAGTCTGTAAGTAGCTGACAGTCACCAGCCCCGAGGTCAAGGGATAAGGTTCATGGAGTGGCCCAGTGGCCCACTGGCCCATTGAAGGCAGCCAGGGATCCAAACCCTGGGTCCATTCTGTTCCCATGCTCTCTCTTACACCCCTTCCGTATTGTTCTTCTCATCAGGGACTTGCCTGGCCATGTCTGCTACTACTCACCAGTTTGTTCTGTCTTTACAATGACATTATGTGTGGACTGGAACAGGTCACTGCTGCACTGGCCTGTGAGGGACAGATTGGGCAAGTCAGAAGGGCCCAGTTGGAGCCAAAACTTAATCCTTAAAGAATAGAGTGGGTTTCTTTGAAGACCTTTGGCTTCTTTCTCAGTCTTTGCAGACTCAAACTTGACGTTCTGGCCTGAGAATATCAGATGTCTAGGGCACCCACATCCAGTGGGATTATTTGGAATTGTGGCGTCAAGGCATCCAGTATGGCAGAATAGATATTCAGAAGTCAGAGGCCAGTTTTTCCACTACTTACTGTGAGACACTTCACCTTTCTTTCTCTCAGTGTTTTCATCTCTAAATGCATAGAGCACTTAACAACAAAATGTAGGGGATTGAACTAGATAAAGTCACTAGATGACCTCTAAGGTGTTTTGTAATACTAAGATCTGATACAAAATGAAAATAAAAATATGGAAAATGATTTGAACTACCTTGCTTCTTCATTGATATGAAATTTAATCAAGCCCAGCTTGACTACTGAGTCCATGGGTGATGTATGTGTTTAACAGGCATGACTGCTAATTGTAAGGTTGGAGGCTTGAGTCCACCCAGAGACTCCTTGGAAGAATGTCCAGATGATCTGCTTTCACAAACTCCACCATTGGAAAGTCTCTGGAGCACAGTTCTAGTCTGCTCCTGTGGGGTCTCACTGGGACCCTGAAGTGACTCAGCAACACGGGATTGTTTTTGTTTCCTTTCATTTTAAATATTGATTGTTGTTGTCAAGTGCCGTCAAGTTGGTTCTGACTCATAGCGACCCTGTGTAGGGTTTCCGAAGAAAAGGTGGTGTCTGAACCGCTGACTTTGGAGTTTAAAGTGACCTTGCAACTGAGTGCTCATCTTACAGTGCCACACCAGGACTCCTTCCGACTCATCGTCACCCTGCATAGGGTTTCTGAGGTTTACTCCTGGTGTGGTGCTGTAGGATCAGCACTGGACTGTGCACCACAAAGTTGGCAGTTCACAACCACCAGCTGCAATGACACTTAACAATATCAAAAAGAAGTCTTTATGGTAATAGAAAGTCTCATCTTTCTCCTTCAGAGCAATTGGTGGACTCAAACTGTTGACCTTGTGGTTAGCAGCCCAACTCATAACCATTCCTCTATGCTGCCAGGGCTCCTATTGATTAGATGCAATCTATGAAGTATGTCTTGATAAATGCAATAATTCTTCCCTTATTTTTGCCCTCAGCACACTAGCAGGGCATACCACACATTGTTGTGTTTGCTTACACCACCTCTCTCTTTTTATCACTTATCAAAACACATACATACACACGAATGAATCTCAGATATTTTTCCTCTCCAGACAGATTACATATATCTCAGCAAAAGAGGTCAGTCCTTTAGCCATTCTGACCCTCAGTCTCCACATCTGTAAAATGGGTACAGAAGTAGTTTGTATTCTCATAAGCTTAATACATAAATCATTTTAGAATGTCTATTATAGGGTTGCTATGAGTCAGTGCCAACTCGATGGCACCTAACAACAACAACAACATTATAAGTTAACAAATGTAAGTTAATGTATAAATAATATCTACCAAAAGGCAAATGACAAAACAGGGGTGAGGACCGTGGCTGGCCATGAAGCATTCAGACACAAAAGCAATGTGTGGTGTAGTCAAACAAGTCACAGATGGTCAAGAATGGGCTCCTTCACTTCCCTGCCTTAAGCTTCAGCCAGGACAACGCTGTAAAGGAGTGGGTTTAATTGGAGATGCGGAGGTAAATGTTTTTAATTCTTCAAGTATAAATCTGCTCTTTCTGAGGATTCCTGGGGTTTATTTATAGGGCCTTGTTTGGTTTGGTTCTAATAAAACAAAAAAGTGAGCAACCACGGCTCTGTGGTGGGTGGGAAGAAGGGAGTGTCAGGGAGCTGATGAGGTCATTCAAAATGGCCACCACAGCTCCAGGCTCTGCAGGCAGAAGGCAGTGCTTCTTGCTGTGAAAGGCAGAGTGGAATCTGATTCCCAACTACTTGCTTTTTCCAATATAGACAGGCCGGCTCACTATTGTCGGATGCCACAAGATGTGCATAGCTCTGAGGAGCTAGCTTTTTATAGCCATTATCAGATGAAAATGTCAAAGATAATCTGCTAGACAAGTTGTCTGTCTTGCTGGGTCTTTCAAGTCAGTATGGAGTATGCACATGCTTGAGGACAGTATTTGAGACAGTGGCCTGTCCATATGCTAGGTGGGACTTTAAGAGAGATATCTCAGAAAGTACTGTAGAAACATCTCACATGTGCCCATACCAACATTCTAACCCTTGTTTTAAGTCCTACAAATTTCAAGAATCTGCTGAAATACTGTGTGATTTCTTTACCAAAACATAAATTTAAATCTAACTCTGTTTATCTTTCTATTACTCTTAGATTCCATCACAAGGCCCCTGGGTGGTACAGGCAATTTGTGCTATATTACTAATCAAAATGTTGCCAGTTTGAACCCACTCAGTGACTCTATGAGGAAGGGGGAGATCTGGCAATATGCTCCTATAAAAAGGACAGCTTAGGAAACCTCCAGGCCATTTCTATTCGTCCTATAGGGTTGCTGTAAGTCAGAATCGACTCAATGGTACACGATTACAACAACAAGGTAAGTGATTATCCTTAAGTACTTGTTGAACACTTTCTCAAGTAAGTCATAGGAATTAAACGATCAAAACCTGGAACAGCAGAAAGACTATAAAGTGTCCTGAAATCAATAAGTATTCTCCAAATACCTAGCCAGCCCTTGTCTCCTTGAAAATCAACATCACCACATAGAGTGAATTCAACATATAAATACACAGGTGTTTATAAGGGATTAGACACACCTCGCACCCATAGGCTTTGCTCCTGTTCTCTCTCCTCCCTTCTACTTCCCTGTCTTGGGAAACAGTAATTTGGAGGTGAGACCAGGAACCCTGCTGGCCTTGGAACCTCACTCTTCCCAGCTGGCTCCCAGCAGGCAGGGAGAGTGATAGTCACCGTTCCACTTGAGATGCTGCAGGTTGCTGTAGAGGAGTTGTCCCGCTGTCCCAGCCGCCCGGGTGAATTCCTGCAAATTCATGCTACAGAGATGCTCGCCGTTGATGTCGAACTCCTGGAAAGGGATGCAGCTGGCGTCCAGCTGGTTGGTGTCCAGAAGGTGCTGGAGCCACTCCCACACCTGGTACTTGGTCCAGTACTGAGGGTGGATTTCATGCCACTGGCCTCCAAAGAACCCGCTGGAAACTACAAAACAAGAGATCAGCTCTTGAGTGACTTGGAGTTATGCCTGGGAATCATCTCAGATGGGGAGAGGTGCTGCTGGCCTCTGATGTCATAGAACATCTGTGTGTGTCAGTGAAGGGGCTGGGGAGCAAGAGGCAGGCTTTGAAAGAGACCCACAGAATTGCGGTTCTATTCCTAGTCATGGTGACAGCCAATCAGGTAGCCCCCAGGCATCTGTATGTCCTCCTAGCATGGTAATGAGGAAGAAAGATGAGGTTTCCTGCTCCCATAAAGATTTACCCTCAACTCATGAGGGTTGCCATGAGTTGAAACTGACTAGTTGGCACTGAACAGCAACAACAACATCACCAGCATAGTACCATTGATGCATGGGTGATTGATAAGAAGTGCTGGTGGCGCAGTGATTAGGCACTTATCTACTAACTGAAAGGCTGGACGTTTAAATCTCCCCAGTGATGATAGATAGATAATAGGTAGATAGATGATAGATAGATAGATGATAGATAGACAGATAGATGATAGATAGATAGATAGATAGATAGATAGATAGATAGATAGATAGATAGATAGATTGATTGATTGATAGATAGATGGATGGATGGGTAGCTAGATAGACCAACTGACCTGGTGATCTGCTTTGTCATATGGGGTTACTATGAGTCAAAATTGACTCTACAGCATACAGCAACACGCAGTTGATGAAGACACAAGAATTGAAGTGCTCTGATCGCATTCTCCCCCACCACAATAGAAGTACCACAATAGCTAAAGTGGCATTATAGCTTTGTCAATTTATTAGCTTCTTATCCACACCAAAATAACTCTCTCTTTCCTATTTCCCTCTTTCTTACTGTACACATGTATATACATACCTAAAACTCAAACCATTTCGACCAAAGATGAGGACTGAGATTGATTCGTTTCTCTGCAATGCCTTTGCTTCCCACCAAAGTGGCTCAGATTCAGCTGCTTGCTGTGCTGACACCCCCCCACCCCCTACCCCCACCCCCGCCCACACACACACTGGTTACTGTGCTACTATGATGTCACTGTGCTTCTCAGTGACCTTCAGTAACTGACTATTATTCACTGAAATTGGATACAACACTTCAGCCAGGCATTGAGGCTCGTTACCAACTAGTTTTCAAGTCATCTATGACTTTTGCCCTGTGTCTATGCTATTCCTGCAGCCCAGGCCATAATCTACCTACCACAACCCTGCCCATCTTTCAAACCCCAGTCACTGCATAAAGTCATCACTGATGTCCCTGACTTTACTGAGAAGGCTCGGGCTCCTCTGAGTCTCCAGCAGATTTGCTTGGTATTTTTCCTAATGGTTTTTGTCATGGTCTGCTTTTCATGGCAGCAATTTGGTGGGGTAGATTACTGTCTTTTTTGACCTTGTAAATTGTATGATCAAGGTCATGGACTCCATCTTACCTTTGTACCTCCTATCATACCTACATTTGAGTCCTTGTCATAGTAGGTGCTTACTATATATTTATTTAATGGGATTTGTTGCTGAAGAAGAAAGAAGATAGGAATCCAGAAAAGTTGTGAGGTACATTCACAAGATGGTTAACTTCACTTAACCCACCAAACCACTGCCATGAAAAGCAGATCATGACAAACCAAGTGAAGATGTGAGGGTCATTCAAGCCAACAATGATGGCTGAGCCTACTTTGTGCTAACAATCTACGCATGTGGCTGTCTCATGCTCACTTAGGAGTCCATGACATGGAGTCCATGTTGCTGCTGTTGCTTAGTGTCATCCAGTTGGCTCGGACTAATGGCGGCCTTGTAGAGGGTTTCCCAGGAGCAGCTGTTGACCTTGTGATTCACAGTCCAGTGTTAACCCTACAGTGCCCCATCAGGACTCTTTTGGGAGAATACCTTTAGGGGCATTTAACAAGGCTGAGAGAGCTCTCAGGCTCCTGGAAAACAGAAGTCAATCAAGGGAAGTCTCTCTATGTAAGGTGAGACATCAGACCAAGGGTAAGACACAATTGTACCATACCAGCTAAACTTGACACAGATATTTCTACAAACTCAAGGATGGATCAGTAAAGGAAACAATAGTGCAAGAGCACTGTTCCTAACTCATTTCTTCAAGGTCATGTGAGATCGGTGTTCCTTAAATTTGAATATGATTCTGAATCACCAGGAACTGTCATTAAAATGCAGATTCTGGTTCAGTGGGCCTCGGGAGGGGCCTGAGATTTTGTGCTTCTGACAAGCTCCCAGTTAATGTTGATGTTGCTGGTCTGTGGCACACTTGGAGTGACAAGGTGCTAAAAATCTCAGAAAGATGTGACTGCTACGATGCCCCTGGTATGGCCTTCAAGATTCCCAAAGAAGAGGTTAAGGGGGGAATGTTTCCAACCCAAACCCACTCTTGCTCACACCCCTCAGAATCCACCCACTACGTCCAAACTTCTGAAGCACTAAGAACGAAAGTCAAGTTCATTTAGAATGTGATGATGACAACACGCAGGCCCACCATGTGTACCTCACTCCTCATAGCAAGCAGAAGTATCCCTAACTTTCCTCTTGAGCCCTGAAGGGGAAGCCAACATGGAAGGTGGGAGCAGGGATTGGAAAAATCTGGCTCAACGTGTTCATTATAAAGATATATTTCTAAATGTACAGGCAACAGAGCTTAGACCGGATGTTTCCATTCCCCAACAATTTCTTAGTGTCTGACACATAGCTGTTCAAGGATGGGATTTACTTTTTTGTGATTCTCTAAGCCTTTGGTCTATATTTTATATAAAATAATTGTGCGTCTGCAACTGTGCAGTTCTGGATTTGCAAATGAAAGGCAACAACAGGCCTGGGATAATTTCTTCTTCAAATTTAGCATGATCCAATTAAAGGATAGCTATTGATGCTGCAGCCTATTAGAAACTAGAAAACCCAGAGAACTTAGTCTGAAGTTGGCTGGAGAACCTAGCAAGCTTCTGAAGTTTTAGGAAAAACATTGACCATCTGATGAGTTCAGCTATTCTCTCTGATTAACTGGTCTCCCCCCACCTTATCAACTGTGATCAGGAGTTGGGTTTGGGGGGGCCTCTGGAAGTCAAGAAATGGAAGTTGTACCTAAGGCCTACTCTCTACTAAACACATTCTTTCAGCTCTCTCCAAAGCAAACACCATGGACCTGGAGATTCCTGAAGAACCTTCTTGTCTATTTGGAATCATCTTTCTAGGCCCCCACAAGGAGTCCAGAACAGAACACGTAACTGCTCAGGAAAGGCAGCATTCTGGTGAAGAGGGAAGCTCACCTGTTTCTAAATTTCAACCCTGTGTGACTGGGATTCCTAATTAAAAGAGGTGTAGTTCCAGACACATCTGCTGCTGTTGGAGAACAGAATCCTCCCATGATAGTCCCTCCCTGCTGGTGTCAGTCTCCTTCCATAAAGATGACAGTTTTGGAAGCCTTATGGTGCAATTCTTCTCTGTCCTAAAGGGTCGATATGAGTTGGAATTGACTCGACAGCATCACCCGTACTCCTCAGACTGTGCTGAACATTAGGCCATTTTTACTTTTCCAGAGAAGCAAGTCTCTTGTTCAAGAATTAGCAAAGGTCTGGGGCAGAATTAGGCCCAGGGCTTCTCGGGCCCATTGGAAACACAGTAGTCTGCCAAACTTGACTGCTTTTACAACATACTTGTCATTTGGGACATGGGGACCCTGATTTAGCAACACCTTTATTCAGTTCAGCTTCTATAGTAAGCTACAGTACTGAATGCCAAATCCTCCATAAGCCCCTCCATCAAATTCAAGATTATATCTATGTCCCCCCCTTCATCAATATGTCCTAGACCAGGGGTGGGGAATGTCTGGCTGCAGGCCATATGTTGTTATTGCTAAGTGTCTTCGAGTTGGTTAAGACTCATAGCGACCCTATATAGTGTTTCCGAGAAGGCTGGTGAGTTTGAACCACCAACTTTGTGGTTCAAAGTGACCTTGCAGTCCAGCGCAGGCCATAAAGGACCTGAAAAATCATTTAGCCTGGCCCTGCCAAGGTAACCACCATTCCAGCCATTGGTGGTAGTGGTCATGTGCTGTGGAGTTGGTTCCGACTCATAGCGACCCTGTATATGGGATCTGAGGTTATAAATCTTTATGGGAGCAGAAAGCCTCATCTTTCTCCCACAGAACAGCTGGTAGTTTTGAACTGCTGACCTGAGGTTGGCAGCCCGACTCGTAACCACTAAGCTACCAGACGCTCCTTAATTAAATGTTTGACCATGTATAGCAGACTAATATTTAAGTGATTATATTTTAGGGCCCACGAATGATGTTATAAATTTTGACAGACAAAAGGTTCCCCACCTCTGTGGCGCTGTGGGATAATGCACTGGAATGCAAGGTTAGTTTGAACTGCAAGGTCGGTGGTTCATATTCTCTAGCCGCTCCTTGGAATCCCCATACAGGGTTGCTATGAGTTGGAACCGACTCAACAGCACTTAAAACTTAACAACAAACCCTGTTCTAGATTAAAGCAATAAAGAAGAGCACCTGGGATCCTAGCAAATCACTTTCCTTACAAACGGAAGTCACCAGAAAATTAAATAGAAAGATTAATCTGCTAGTCCTCTCCTCCTCAAGTTCTATGCTTGCTATGTGTGTATAGTATCTGGGTATCCCAATCAAACTCTGTTAAAAGATTCAACAGGCAGCCTTCCCTTTGGGCCTCCCTTCTAGCCCCCTCTCTGCCAAGCTGCCAGCTCAGCTTCTTGGATATTGAGAGATGGTAGAATGTCTTAAATGGGCTTCTATTTGGAGCCCAGCTTCAGGCGTTTCCGTATTGCCCCAGGTCCCCACACTATCCATTAAAGCCTGCATTTTCAAACATTAAGCTGGGAGAGGACACCTCATTAAAGTACAAGGAGAGAGACCCCCACAGGAATGCCACGACACGCACTGATTCTCTTACCATTGCATGTGGAGTAGCTGTCTGTCCAGGCTGGCTGCTGGTGGAGGAGGTTGTTGCTGAGGTTGACATTCATCCCACCACTTCCTTCCAGAATCATGATCTGTAAGGGAATCAAACAACCCAGTCAGTCGGTGCGTCTTGGACAAACAGCATTTGTAAACGCACTAAAGTTACTTCGCTGTTGTTGTGAAGTGTAGTTGAGTTGGTTCCGACTCATAGCAACACTGTATAAGGTTTTCAAGGAGCAGCTGGTGGGCTTGAACAGCCGACCTGTGGTTCGAAGTCCAGTGTTAATTTAGGAAGTAAAAAAAAAAAAAAATGTCCCTTACCCTTTACCCCTGTGCCTCCAAAACACTTTGCCACAGCCTTTTCAGTAAAAGCAAAGATTACTGGCAATTTAAAATTTCCAGGTTCGATTTTCATATGCACGAGGCAAAGTTTTACAGTTACCCATTCATAAATGAATAATCTCTGATCACAAACGAAGTGGGAGGAAAATGCAATACCTGCTCACTGGACGGGCGAGGCTGGCCAGCACCCAAGAGTTTTTACCAAAGTGAAAATACCGAAGAAATTTTCTTTAAAGTGGAATTTAAATCACTGAAAACCCAAGTCAGTAGAGACACAGAGCTGGCACCTGTGCTGGAACTCGAATCTGAAATCAGTCGTTCCCTCGTCCCAACATGCCCGAGCAGCCCTGCCCTGTTTCATCAGGACCCTTTCCCGTGGGGATCCGCCATGGCACGGACTGGAGGTCAGGGGGCCTCAGCCATGCAGTGCGGAAGTAATGTGAGGAATCAACTGGTTTCTCAGACTAAGACACATTTCTGGTTAAAAAAATAATAAAATGCTGTCTAGTTTTCCTCTGCATTTAGAGACACAGAGAATACATCAAGTTTTCAAACTAACCCAAAACAGAGTCTCTCAGGCTGAGGGATTAAGAAGAAAGGATACAGAAGAGGTTTTCTTCCATGGGCCTGTCTGCCTTGAGCACTGTGCTTTTTAAAAGAGCGATGTGGTATTGAAGAAGAATATTAAAAGTACCATGTATGGCCAAAATAACCAACCAATCTGTTGGAAGAGGTACAGCCAGAATGCTCTCTGAAACCAGGATGGCAAGACTTTGCCTCTCATACTTCGGACATATTGTCAGGAGGAACCAGTCACTGGAGAAGGATAACATGTTTGGTAAAGTTGGGGGGTCAGAGAAGAAGAGGAAAACCCCCACTAACATGGATTGGCACAGTGGCAGCAGCAATGGGCTCAAACATGGTAACGATTGTGAGTTTGGCCCGAGACCAGGCAGTGTTTTGTTCTATTGTGCACAAGATCTCTATGAATCAGTACCGACTTGATGGCACCTAACAACAACAACATATGGGATCCAATTGACAACTGGACAGCAGTAACTGGTTGGATAGGAAGCTTAGAAGCCAGTGAGTTGACGTTGACCATGGAGGAATATGAGAATGGCTTATGCCTTATTACGTTCTTCAAGTTGTACAGCCATTCTCACCCTCCTTGTCTGATTCTATCATTCAGTCCCTTAGCTGTTGCTCTCTGCTTCCCAATGTGACCATTGAGAGCTAAATTAATCTCAAATGCTGATTGTGCTAATACGTCAGTGGATGCTAATCACTTATTGTTGGAACTCCTTGTCTGAGGGTGAGAATGGCTGTACAACTCAAAGAAAGTAATCATTATCACTAAATTGTACATGTAGAAATTGTTGAGTTGGTGTATGTTTTGCTGTCTATATGTTCAACAAAAACAAAATAACATATTTTTTAAAAAGAAAGAAAACCCTTCCTCAATGTCCCAGCACCTGTAACATCTCTAGCCTTGAAGCAGATATGCTTGGCGTTTCAAACCAAAACCCTAGACACATGTTCAGTCATTCAAAGGAAAAATGGCCTGTCCCCAGAGGTCACTGGGCATTACCCATGTCTGCAAAGAAAATGTGCCCTTTATACACACTGAGCTGGGGAGAGAAGACTGGCTTTAGAGTGGTGGGCATGGAAAATTGACTATTTGTTTTGGGGAAATCTCACACCCCTGGGGTATCATCCAGAACAGAAACAGCTCTTGAAACCCCTCCCCTTAACTTAGTTCTCTGGGTCTGTGTAGAGCCTGAAGACAGTAGACAAGGGGCCTAGAAACACATGGAAAACATATTCAACAAATATTTATCAGCCCTATAATGGGCTGGACTCCTGGGGTGGTCTGTAGGATCAGCACTAGCTGTAAATCACAAGGTCGGTAGTTCAAGCCCACCAGTTGCTTCTCGGAAACCCTATACAGGGCCACTATGAATAGGAATTAACTCAACAGCACTTAAAAACAACATAATGGGCTAGGCAGTGTTCTAGGTACTGCAGTGATTAAGAGTTAAACTAGGCTGGGCATGTACATCTATGGTCATTATTAGCATCCTCATCGCTGTTGTTTGGTAAATAATTAGGCCTGAGTCCAGCCTAAGAAGGTGGAGTAAGGCAGGTGGACGGTGGAGGTTGTAAGAGTGAAGACAGCATCGCATGGAAGAGAGAAGAATTGGAGTCCACTTCCTGGCACTGCATGGAAGAGCTTCAAAGTCACACACATTGATTCTAAGCTCTGCACTTACTACTCAAGATTAGTGCTAACTCCGACAAGTTACATAACCTCTCTGAACTCCAGTTTCCTCATATGCAAAAGATAGGCAATGGTAAAAGAGCTCTGGTAGCATAGTAGTTACAAATTGGGCTGTAAACCACAAGATCAGCAGTTCAAAACCACCAGCTGTTCTATGGGAGAAAGAGGAGGCTTTCTGCTCCTGTAAAGATTTACAGCCTCAGAAACTCTGTGCAGGGTCGCTATGAGTCAGAACTGACTCCAAGGCACACAGCCACCAGCACCACCTACCATGTATATTGGTTGGAGATTAAATGAGTTTCTATACCTCTAACACTTGGCACAATGTAGGGCATGATTCTAAGGCAGGCATTATGCTAAGCAGAGTCACTGCCTCTCTGAATAACCTGAACCAGAAACAACACTGAGCTTCAGTTTTCCCTCCTGAAAACTTAAAGAAGGTGACTAAATAGGTCCTTATTCCCTTTCAGAGTCCTCTTAGATTCTCAGCCTCAGAGAAGGAAAGCAAACCCAAGTCAAGCCTTCCTCTCTTTTTCACACTAACTGGACATTTTCCCATTCAGCATTCTAGAACAATTGCCCTGAAGTTCAGACATCAGACTGGGGACTTCAAGGCGAAAGAAACCTCCAGTTCTCCAGAGGGGGTGGCTGGGAGTGGGAGCCATGGCCCAGTCTCTGTTTGCTCAAGGCTGGGCTTGTTCCTTGCCAGCATTTGCTCAACCACAAGCAGCATGATGGTTACTGTTTAACCCTGAAAGGGCTGAAACTCAGCGCCCAGCCCATTGGATGGAGGGATTGGCCAGGCAGTCTGGGGGAGGATGGGCAAGGAAAAGTTTCCCTGCCAGTCTTGCGGGCGGATTTGCCCACAGGGCTATTTCATAGTGGCCATTTCAGTGGGAGCAAGACCTGCCCAGACCCTTCTCTGCTGGTTTGGGGTTCTTCCACTGTGTGCTTAGGCAAACAGGAGCAGGGTAGTGGTGTGGTAGGCCCCTAGGCTTTGGACTTGAGGAGATCCTACTTCCCCTACTTACTGTGTATAATTTTGAACAAGTTACAAGTCTGTTTAGCTGAAAACTTTCTACGCCTCATTTTCCCCACCGGTAAAATGGAAACAACCCCAAACTCAAAGGATTGTGAGTATCAAAATGAGAGCTTAGCAGTTAGCAAGACTCCAATAAATAATAAATGTTCTGGACAATGTGGGCCAGTTTTCTGCTTGGGGACAAATGCCCACAAACACCTTTTCTCTCAGCATTCAGAACAACTCTTACCCCACAGAGAAGCCTTCTAAACTGCAATGTCCCAACTGCCTCATCCCTACCCAGAGGCTGGCTCAGTTCCTTGCTGACACCCCCTTTCTAAGGGAAAGCAGGCGGCGTGGTGGTAAGGGGCCCTTTTTTACTGGGCACATTAAATGGTTACCACTCATAAAAGAGTTTATATGGCTTAACCCTTAGTGAGTCAGAGTTCACTTGAGCTCACCCAGGCCTGTGAAGAAAGAAGGTCAACATCCCCTCTCCAGTGGCAGCACAGAAGGATGTGTGTCTGGCAGGGGGGTGGGGGTGGGGGGTTGGATGCAGACCACCAGTGATAGTCAGAAGGTTTCCTACCAAAAGTGATTGTCTATAGAATTTTCGTGCAGTATTTCAGCAGAAATGTATCATTTTTTATTAAAATATTTGTGTAGTTAGTAATAACAACAAAAACATTTTGTTGTTAAGCCCAGTTTACATGTCTCAATCTACCTACAAGGCTACAACTCTACGTTAATTTACTTTTTGAACCTTCTAGGGAGTCCTGGTGTAGCGTGGTAGGTTAATGAACTGGACTAAAAAGTTGGTTTGAACTGAAAGGTCAGAGGTTCAAGTTCATCCGCCGCTCCTCAGAAACCCTATACAGGGTCACTATGGGCCGGAATTGACTCAACAGCACTTAACAACAACAACAACAATGCATTTCGGTTGCAGCTGTCCTCATTACCCAATTACAACGATACTTCAAATCACGTAGTTTCGTCTACAACGTTCTAAAAGCAAGCGCTGTTGCTTTAGTTACTGCTGGTGTATCTATAATCCCTGATTGTGTCAAATTTTCTGGTATTTTAGTTACAGGAATGTGGCAATCAGTATTTGTAAGCCTATATCGATAATTTTTTTGAGACTGAGGTGACAATTAAATGAAAGAAGAAAAACCAAAGACAGCTTCCACTCAGTTACTAATAATGTAGAAATAAGGTTGTAATTTAATGTAGAAAGAGTTTAACAAACAATTTTGTTGTTAGTAGTCATATAATTTAAGTGTAAAATGAAGACTTTTATACCCCAATAGCCTCACAGAATTGTTGAAGAGATCAAATGAGACAACAGAATAAAAACATGCTTTTGAAATTTGTTTTTAAAAAAGCATTATGACAACAAACACCCCCATATATTAATACAGACTTTCTCTGGCATATAGTGATTATGGAAT